ATTTTTCTGAAATATTTACATCCATGTGTGTGTATTTATACATACATAATAAATGTACACAGTACACACATATATTATGTAAATAAAAACTTTTATTTTGGATGCAATTGATCACAAATTATCGTTTGACAGCACTAGTTTCTATACATTTGCCATCAAGCCACTACAACACAAAAGTACTGTTCTCATTTATACTGTTCTTTCTCTTTTATATATATATATATATTGCAAATGTAAGCAAATGTTTTGACTGTACAATTAAGTTACACAAAGCAAGTGCTAGCACATAGAAATGCTGCAATTCTGTAGTCATAAAGTCTGATTTATTAATGGAAACACATGACATTTACAGGAAGGCCTCTAAACAGGAACCTGGTCAGGAAAAGAGCTGTTGCACCATATTAAAGCAGTAATCAGAACGAAAGTGAATCATACAGGAGCTAAGGTGTGCCTCCCATCTGTGCGGTCCTGATGTCTTTCAGAGAGGGTCAGGAGGTCACAGTCCTGCTGTACACTGTAAGATTTGGAACGAAGAGTCTGCATTATGTTCAGGTCAACAAACCACAGTGTACAAAATTGCATATAGACCATAATGCACTCACTTTTCAATACAAAAATGAGACACTGAAGTCGTTTTAGTTTAGACTTGATGTTGATGTAATGACTTATAAGCCTCGGTCGAGATCGTTACACAATTAATAGCCCCTTAACGCAAGTCTTTTCTAAGACACGAGTGTAATCACGTCACAGAACCTCGTCCAAAAGCACTAATCCTCCTTTATTTTGTAAGCTGATAGAGCAACCATATGCCCCTGCATATCACTCACTCAATTTTAGGTGAAACCAAGCCCTGACCTCCCCTCACCAAAATAGTGTTATATTTCCAAGGTCTATTATTAATCTGTACTTTTCCCCTCTCAGGATTAGGCCACAGCGCTCCCCCACTCTTCTCTTTTCCACTTAGACAGCTATTATTGCCATAGATGCACTCAGATTAGTCATGTGTTTATGTTGACAGTGGCTGTAGCTGGATTAGGTCATGCTTGTGGGACACAGGGGAGGGATGTTTGTGTCCGTCTGCATGCGCATCAAGGGCCCCCGTCTCGTTTGACCTGCACCTAGAGTCTCCCCATGCTAAACTGACAATAGGTCGGGCAAGACCCTCGCCACATTCAGACATCCATTGTCCTGAGACGCAGAGGGGGTGGAACGGGTGCAGCTTGATGGAGCGAGAGTGGTGACAATTAAAATATGGGACAGAGTAACATCATAGGTGTCATGAAAGATTTGAGAAAGAAAGTTTGAGTCAGTAATTCCAAAGTAGTTGTCCTTTTTATGACGGTGTCAGACTGCAACACATGCAATATTAATAAAATGCATCGTTAATGGTGGAAAAACATTTTTTTCCCAGTGTCTCACCCTGGTGGGTAGTTTATACAGAGATTGTGTCTCTTACAATGCTGCAAGATGTACTTAGGCAACAGTGTGTGTGTGTGTGTGTGTGTTGGTTTGTTGGGGAGGTGACTAGGAGCTCACGTGATCAAAGTATGGTAAACCTTTACTCAGGTTTTTGTTGACTCATTCTCTCAGTTCTCTTTTATATTTCCAAGAATTTGCTGATTTTAAACGAACTTTGCCTAGACTAAACCATGTCACTCTCGTCTACGTGAGGGGCTAATGGCACTGCAGATGATGAGGCAGAACTTCCCTCTTTCCATCCGACGCCCACAGGTATTTTGTCAGCAGTCTATGTTCTGTGTTTTTGTGGCAAAATCAGGCCTAACTAGTTGTTCAGTACTGGAAAAGACTCAGACCGTTCGGTCTTCCCCTTGACTTTTTCCATCTGAAAGATCAATGATAGTGGTCTCTGATGTCCTGTCAAACATAGTTGGTAAAGCTGTATTGAGTGAAGAAAGGATTTCATTCTCTGCTCTCAAGTTTTGTGAAAACAGTAAACTCCCCCAGACTGATGATGCAACAGGAAGTTTTGCTCTCATTAAATGCTGTGATAGTTTGATTTGTTCTCAATGTTCACTGGCTTGGCAGTGGTTAATGTTTTTTTTTTTCTTCAGCCATTTCACACTTGATCAATACTTGACAGAATTTATTAAATATTTTATATTATTATTATTATTTGTTTCCAGTGATGCCAAAACAAATATCTAACAAGCAGTAATGATTAAGTCCTAACAATTTAACAAAACTAAATTCAGGGCAAACGATGGAGAGAGCAGAGGAATCTTGTTATAAATGAGACAAAGGGATCATTTGGGAAAATAAGTATGTGGGTGAAACGTAATAATATGAGGTCACGTTGGTTTCTATCATTGTGAATGGCAGTTGGAGAATCAGGAATTGAATATATGCCGTTTTATCCTCGGAATGTATTAGTGAGAAATCTCGCGAGGGGAGCTGATTCCAGTCAAAGTGAATGAGTAATACAGCAGAACTTCTGCTGCCAACTGACACAACAGCACACACAGAACGGTTAGCTGAGCACCGTCCTTGTTACACTAGATTATTTCGTTTACTTCTCCAGAAAATAGGTCATAGTGTCTCAGAATACAAAAAAAAAAAAAAATCGACACAAATAAATTTCTAGGTTAGGGTTTTATTCTCTCGACTATGATCCAATTTCACGCCACACTCTACAGCGGCACAAACACATTTATAAAATAAATGCATGAAGAGGGAAAAAGAGTGAAATCAGCGTCAAGTGTTTTATGGACAAAACAAGTAATATTGAATATTATATGATCAATTTATTAAAAATAAAATGTTATTATTATGATTATTATTATTATTATTATTATCATCATCATCATTATTATTATTATCATTATTATTATTATTATTATTATTATTATTACTACTGTTGTTGTCATTATTATTAGAATAATAGGCGTCATGAGCGAAGAGGGATTTCCAAGCAAGTGTGCAATGCTCGAGCAATTTCTAAATAAAATGCATCGATTAATATAAACGCCTCCAGTGAAATCCAATTGGTCTTTAATGAGTACATCAAACAGCACTGACATTTTATTGGTCAATTAGAAATCCATACAAAAACAAATGCATGAATTTAGGGAGGGTAAAATTCTTCACACTGTACCAATCAGAGTGCCTTTAATAAATCACGGAGTGTTGTATTAAACTGAAAGATTAAGGGCTAAAGACAGCTGTGGAAAGGGGGAGAACGTTTGAAAAAAATATCGAGATTTCTTGCAATAGCTTTGATTTTGGTGTAAATAAATGATTCTTGATCGCCCGCTGCAACGAATTCATCGGGTCTAGCTTGAAATATGCAACATAAGGTCACTACACTATCACTTTTAATTGCACTGTGCACCCTGGAGCCCGTAAACAGCCTGCATTTTATACAGTGAATCACATATAAGACATACGCGTGCAAATATGCAACATACATCACCGCGCAAGACAATGAAATGCTAGGTGAAAGAGCGCGCGCACGCACACACCACACACAGGTGAGCTACCTGTCAGATCACTGCATATTTTCTGCTCCTCTTCCTTAAGACCAAGCTGTCGATGCTCGAGTTGTAATCATTCTTGCTCTGTTCCGCTTACAGGATAGAATGTCCACCGCCTCACCTTTCCAAAGTCGCACCTGTGTTGCAGAACGACAGACGCGAGCACCTGATGTGGCTCATCAGACGACCTCAGTGCTTCTCCATCTATCCCGCCGTGTAAAGATAGGTGGCGTGTGTGTCAGAGTCTCGGAGCGCAAAAGTAAAAGAGAGAGCGCAGAAATGTCATCTGAAGAGGCGGAACACGTCAGTGCGTCCTCAGGTTTGTTCCGTGTTGTGGCTCACAGAGATCAGTCCAAACCTGTCCATCAGGAATAACGGTCCCTCATTATAGAGCAGAGTCCTCCTCAGCGCTCCAAACATCTCTGTGGCGTTTGCCTCCCCTCTAACCGGCTCTTTGGGGAATTGTCATATAGAATCGGGTAGGTGAGCCTGTTTCGTGTGTACTTGAGTCCTTGTGGATGCTTTTTATACACCCTATTTGACTTTTTGAACCCCCTCCCGAATACGCGATTGCAATCAACTTGGCTTCAGCCGGCGCAGGTGAGAAAGGTGCGCGCGCCTCACGGATGCTGACACAACTTCATGCAGGGATGATGATGATGATGATGATGTCGCTCGTTACATTTATTAGTGCATGTTTACGCGTCTCTCATAAACGGATGCTTTCCCGTTAGACAACAACATAAGAACCCTTTTCTGATCCGCATCTCTTCAGTCTTATTTTAGATGTTAGGTACATGACTTTCAGTTTAAATATTTAAACATATTTAATTGCAAAAATAAGCTACAAAAATAATCATTTTAATTTTGTCATCAGCATCCACAAATTTTCCAAGACTTACACTTGCTGTGATGAAAGGGTAATGTAGCTTTTTATTTGTTTGTCTATCATGTTTGGATTCCGTGTGTTATTTTTAAGGATTCGTCTGCACAATACTGCAGGTTTTATTAGCTACATTAGATAAGCTGACAATTAAATATTTCTAATGTACGATATATTATAAGCAGTTATTAGAAGAGTATACACGTAGCATGTTTTGGTTAGGTTGATTTTTTTTTCCTAAAAAAATACAATTTTTAAAAGGAAAATATAACCAAATAATTCTTAATAAATACAGTTTCTCTTAGTATTTTAAAACAAAAAGAAATATACTACATGAAATTCGGTCAAGCAGTCGCCTATAAGTCAGGCAACAGAAATTACGAAGCCAATATTTACATCTATCAGACTTACAAAGTAGTGCACAAGATTAGATGCCTATTACTTAAAGCTGACAGAGGGGGGAAATATCAAACTACACAAAGCATTTCCACTAAACACAAGTTGCCGAAAACTTTAATTGCATCTCATTCTTTGAAGTGCTCTATACGCACAGCACATGCTTTATGGTGACTTGAAGGTGTCGGTCTGTCGGTCTGTCCGTCCGCCTTCATTCGCACTCACGAGCTGCTTGCTGTCCGATCACACACACACTCACTCACACACACACTTCAAAAGATCAGACGACGCGCAGGACGCTCACGGTCCCTCTAAACAAACCCTCCTGGACAACTTCATTCGGACTTCTCAGTCACTCTACCCCCCCCAAATATCATTTGGTCTCCTGTGAGCGACACACATCCTCCTTCCTGCCCTGAGAATCCAATTGTTGCCGTGTGTGTGTTGGTTGCTAGATCTTGGATGAAGGAGCGGAGCCCATGCGGACTGCTGCCATCTGACCCACTCTTATCAATGAAGCAGGAGATCATGGCGGAGGGTCCCCGGTGTAAGAGGAGAAAACAGGCCAACCCGAGGAGAAAGAACGGTAAGAAAGTGACTTATGGCGAAAAACCGAACTCCGGCTTGTTCTCGCGTCTTTAAAACACAGTTGGATTTGGGTGAGATTGTGCGTTGTCAAACGAAGCGCTGTACGGAAGAGTGCGGAAAACTCAGCGACAGTGTAAATTATTTTCTTGTGTGCTTAAGGTAGAAGTCTACCGGTCTGAAGTGTTTTCATTGCCGTGGAATTTTTTAAGTGGTAACAGAGTAAGAGTTTGAGGGAGAGTTCAGATGTGAGCGTCTATTATCTCACAGCAGTTGGATTTGGGTGAGATTGTGCGTTGTCAAACGAAGCGCTGTACGGAAGAGTGCGGAAAACTCAGCGACAGTGTAAATTATTTTCTTGTGTGCTTAAGGTAGAAGTCTACCGGTCTGAAGTGTTTTCATTGCCGTGGAAATTTTTAAGTGGTAACAGAGTAAGAGTTAGAGGGAGAGTTCAGATGTGAGCGTCTATTATCTCACAGCACAAAACCGTTATGTGTGTGTGAGTGCGTGCGCGCTCGCTCGCGTGTATTCTGCTGGACACAATACGGCTCTAAAATACTTTTAAATGCTTAAGAAAGTTGTTTTGAGTTATATGTGAAGTTGTACAGTTATACTTTGGACTTCTGTCTTTGCTGAAGTTGTAAAGGAGTGAAGTACTGCTGTATGGTTACAGGTTATGTGTTGGGACACTTTTCGTCACTTTCTTAATTTATATGTAGTCACAATTGTTATGACTTATTGAACACATGACTTTTGGATTGTGTTGAAGGCATAATTGAAGCAAAATTAAGTGACTAATGCTTTTGTTGGAATCCTAAGGGAAAAACAAGCCTAAAAGAAAAGTCCTGGTGCCATAGTACTTAATGGCCTGAGGAGCATTTTAGACACAAAGAAAAACAAACTAATCTTCAGACTATCACTCACGCTGTCCTGTCTTTCTTTTATTGATAAAAATATTTTTTTTGTAAGAGGAAAATATTTTATTTTAATCGGGACAGTAATATTTTTAAAATACTTCTGATTATGTTGTTCAATCTGTGTTTTATGCAAATACATTGCTTTGATTATTTTGGTGTTTTTCCAGATATTCCCGGACTCTGTTAGCTATGTTTGTCCACGATACTTTATTAAATGCGATCTATTGATTTTATAAAAATCAATGTATCCTGTCGCGGAGTGTATGACACTAAATAAACTCGATGGTTTGAAACTTATTTTCATACAGGGGCAAAAACGAGTGAGGCGGTTAATCAGTGATTATCTTGTTTCGGATTGAAACAGAAACGCATCATGTTGAGTTTATGATTATTTTCAGATGTTGTTTGAAAATTGTGGCTAAGGCAAAAAATTATTGCTCACTTATTTAACTTTTGGGGACACTATCCTTTTTTATTCTTTTTAATGTCAAAATGTCGTTGAGGAGAATAAGCAGAGGACTACATAAATAATAGGCTAGCCTACATATCGAGCGATGACTATAAAACGAGTGTTGTATGGAACGTGAGTTGAGTAGAATGTTTTGAATCGTCTTAACAGTACGTTATAATATAAATGTAAATAATACAGCCTAAATAAAACACACATATTAATAATACTTTCAGTTGAAAAACTGCGCTTTTAAGCTTAGATATAATTCCGTGTAATTAGTTAGCTGACTTTATTATTATTTTAAATGATCCTTTAGCCTACAATTTATTACTGAATGTATAAATTCGAGTGTTTACATTATTGCCCCATTAACGCAGTAAAGTAATTATTAAAAAAATACACATTTTTGCCCAAGTTACTGAATATTAAAATGACAGATTCGTTAAATAATGAATCCAAATGTATTTTTATAGTTTGTAGTTCAGATCCTCTTCTCTGGCAGCGCGGCCCCACCCCACTGTTTCAAGGGCCCAATGGGAGGTCACATTAGGCCCTATGTGAAACTCGATCCGCTCTCTGGCTGCAGTTGTGTTGTGGTTGTCATTTACCCTCCCACACCCCCAACCTCCCCCTTTTTTTCACAGCACGTCACATCCAGCTGTGAGGGCCAGCTTGACAAAACTGTCAAGAGGCACAAGACTATAAAGTTGCAGCGTTCTATAGATTGCCTTGGTTCTGTTGTTGTGTGTTGATTTCTCCTTAATGACAGATCACTGTAAGCTTGTTGTAATGCTCAGCCGCATTGGTTTTTAATTTCTCTCAGGTTTTTCCTGATATTAGGCATAATTTGTCTATGATGTGTTCTACAGCTGTCACTTTAAAATTTCTTTGTGATTCATTCTTGTTTTTTGGCTTGTTTAGAAACCGATGCTGGAGCTGCTAATACAAACGATCAGAAGCCTTTGTGAGAAGTCACTGCATTGAGTCACAGCAGTTAACAGATTAAATCACTTGTTTCTATGAAAGGAACATTGTGTGATATTTGTTCGGATGCCATAAAGAGGCTAGCAGGTTCACCGAGACAAAGCGCTAAGACAATGGCTTGTCATTGGGGCATCTCATTGGCATGCTCTGATAATCGGCAGTACCAGGGTGTCTAGTGTACCGTCTTTGGCACGTAACGCGCACAACTGGGCCATTGTGAATGCAGCTGCAGCAGATACCTTTCACCCTCCTTCTTTAACCACTTCCTGCTAAATACGTCTTTAAAAAATAACAAAAACATAAATTCTCACAATTAATTATTCATGCATTTACAAATAGAGGTCTCACTCTCTAAAACACATGTACACACCAATCTCAAGTAGCTCTCCAGCAGTACCATCATCTGTGCTGACCTGAATGCCTTTCATATCTGCTATGCCATGTTTCAGCCACCCCCTTTCCTTCTCTCTCTCTCTCTCTCAATTTTTTCCCTCCCTCACTCCCTCTCTCCCTCCTCCACCACACACCCCCTCAGTAAACACCCCCGAGGGCAGAACAAAGAAAAGGAGCTCCTCTCCTCTTTCTTAATCACAATTCAGCCCTTTCACTGCCGCCAGGCCACTCTCTCGCTTTCAGCATCCCAAAGCCAGAGATGAAAATAGTGCAAGAGAGAAAGGAGAAAGGGAAAGCAAGAGCGAGCAAGTGAGGAGAGAAAAGGTGGAAATTATGATCTAGAGGTATAGAGGTAGAGTGACATAACTTTGGTGCCTCTTTGCGATTGTTAAACTCCCTTGGTTACACTACCCACACTGGTCAACTGCCCTAGCTGAAGGATGGGGTCCTCACTAATGGCTAGATAATGTTACTGGATGCCAGTCTGGAACTATTACCGGCCAAATAGCAGACAAGAGAGAAAGAGAGAGAATAGGGAGGGACTTTGAGAGACAAAAAGAGAGAGACACTGATAAGGTTAGCAATAATTGAGTGAGAGAAAACAAGTTAGTGTGTGTGTATTGAATGGAAGCTGGGGGCCAGTGGAATGGAGGGGCGAGCAACAGATTGTTTTATGGACCCAAAAGAAATATCACAGGTGCTTGAGACTATGCAGAATCCATTTTTAAAGTGTTGCGACAGATGTTAGGTGTTAGTTGTTTATGTTGTCACTTTGTAGCAAAATCACACGCTCAATTTTAGCTCACTCATTTTGACTAATTTCCTATGGTTATATTTTTGTTTCCCCCCACCCCTAAAGTTGACATACATCTGCCATATTCAAGATAAGCCAACAACCCAGGTATAGAGATAAGAGAAACGAGACGTTGGTCTTTAGAGATCCGTGGATTTGTATGGGTGGCGGGACAGATGCCACTCTCAGGACCGACACTTTCTAGCAGTCCATCGCTTTCACAAAGTGAGACAAAACATCCAGTCAGGGGCCAAACGCCTGTGCCTTTTCACTGACAGACAAGACATCCATTATTGTGTTAGTCTTTCATTCGTTTTTCCCCCTGTACCTCAATAGGTCAGGGATCACAAATGCAAATCCACAGGCATACCGAGAGAGAGAGGGAACATAAGAATACTCAAATGCACCATGTGATATGAATTCTTAATTTTATCTGTTTCGCTCCCTCCCCCCTCGACTTTTTTTTTTGTTTGTAAGAAAAGGAGATTATCTGTACACCTTCATTCAAGTCCCCTCCCCTTTCAGCTGGGCCAAGCTGTGCAGGATTTAGGCCGATTTACTTCAGCAAACACCTATGGACACTGGGGAGGGGACGGACCCTGCTTGGAAAGAGGGGGTCCTTTGTTTGCTGGGGTGCAGAAGGCCTAATGCTTCACCGGGCGGCCGTATTATCGCATTAAGCTGTATGCTGGTGGCCCAGGGAGGCTGGTTAAAGCTAAAGCAGTCTGCTATCTGCCAAAGACAAGAGAACATACATTAGTGTAGAGATGTGCCCCCATTGTGTGCCTCAAACTTCTTCTCTGGACGCGAAAGATTAGATGGTTCTAGGTAGAGGAGTTGTCTCGGGAGCATCTGCAAAAAGTGCATTGGTACATGCCTATTTAAAAGCTTGAAGCTTGTGTTATTTTTGAGTATTTGCTAGGAGATGCTTAGATTCCTAAATACTTTGTGGCAGGAAAATGTCTAACCGTGGCATAACTATGGTGTTTTTATTCCAAGTTAAGCCCATCCCCCATTTTTTTCTCCCCAAGCTAATGCAGAGAGCTTTATCTGACTCTGTTCTCCTAACATCTGTCACCGCTAAGAGGGACAGGAGAACACCATCGGAGGCTTCGTTAGTCCTGTGTCACTTGTGACTAACAGGAATGGGCAATTCACAGTAGTGAGTCTGTTCCCTTCTCTTTTCTCTTGCTCTCCCACTCTCTACTAGATGATACAGCTTAAAATTCCACAGATCTTGTTTTATGCAGTCCATCGCTACATTGGGTGTGGGCAGTTAGCCTAAGAGTGCTAAAAACACCCACACCGGCCATGGTGATCGAAATAGTGTGTAATGTTTCCGTAGTCAGTGGCTGTACTTTACAAGTTATCTGTTGTTGTTCAAGGTGCTCAGCCGTGGACGTGTATGTTTGCAGTTCAAGGTGACTGACAGAGTTTGTTGTGCATCTTCCCCCTAACTAACC